CAATTTATATGCTACCTGTTGTGTTGACTTTTCTTAGGAAGACATGAACAAATACTTTTCATCCTGTATAGGGTATCAATGCTGTGATCCATGAAAGATTCCAAATAAGTCTAACTTGGTGAACAAATGAGTTTAAATGTTGTTCCAGACAGGAGCACAGGCAACTTACAGTGGAGACACAATTGAAGAAAAAAACTCTTCCTCATTAGCAAATGTTTACCACTTGCATATTCTCACAGAGGAGTGGGACTTTGCATGTTCATGAGATTCCTATTTATCATTACAGATGTTGTGATTTTTTTTAAAAGCAGCAGTCATGTCGTGTCTGAAGGTCAGAGTTCTACAATAGAATGAATATTGACACAAATTTTTAAAACTTTTTTTATTGAGCTTTATATTTTTCCCACTCACTTTCCTTCCTCCCTTCTCCCTTTCCACCCTCTCCCCTACTCCCACCCCATGCTTCCAATTCTCTGTAGTTGAAACAACTTTTTTAAAGGGAATTTGTCATTAGCTAATAAAACTATATGCATGCTTTCCATTTGATCAAGCAATTTCATTCGTAGAGTTTTTAATTGAAGGTATACATTCAACAACAGAAACATAAAAATAAAAAGATGGATCCTGTTTTCTAATCTAATCTGTTACTCTGTGCAGAATGGAAACTGTCAATGTTGAGAATTTTTATTGAATAGTCTAATGTATTCATATAAAAATGGTTGAATAAGTCATAGTACATCCATTCAGTGAAGTACCATGCAGCAATAAAGAGAGTAAGGAATATCTCTTACTGTATAAGGAGTGAAGTCTAATGTATTTGTTAAGTGAAAAAAAATAAAGGAAGGTTAGGGTTATATCCCTAAGCAATAGCATACTTTCTTTTATACGCGAAAGAGAAATAAGAACACAATTATGTGTTTGCTCATTGGGGAAAAAATAAACTAGATAAACAAGAAAATACTGAACTATATTACCTATGGCCAGTAGGTGAAAATACAATAAAAAGAATAGGTATTTCTCTGATCATACATTTTGAAGAGTGTTGATATTTAAAACTGTGTGTTTTCTAAGTAAAAATGATGAGATGCAAACTAAAATGTAGTACAAAGGGCAATTAGCCAATCTGAATGATTAACATACTCGCACGGGAGAAGACTACTTAGCCTAAGCAGTTTAGGGTTCCTCTGGGTTTCGGAATGGAAGAGAATACTGTGAGTTGGAGATCAGTGGTTTCTGTGCTTTCAGGGCACAAACTAAATAAAACTTTAAAATTCTCCAGGTTTCATTTTACCATGATAAATTTAGCAACTCTTAAGATTATTTTTCTGTAGAAATAAATAAGTATATTGTGGAACTAAGTGATTTGCCTTTGGAGGACAGAGTTACAAATAAGATAGAAGGAAAGATGGGGAAATCTATAGTCAGAGACTGAAATTAGAAGACATAATAGAGATCATTGGCAGATGTAAAGAAGGAAAAAGTTTACAGAGACATGACTAGACTCCAGGTTCATGCCCACTTTCATTTTGCCTGCAGAGAAGGTAAAGAAGCAGTGGTTACTACACTAACAATGAATGCAGAGTTCAGAGTTTAGAGTCTAACCATGACAATAAAAGCAAAATAAAAAGTGTACACTGATTTTTAAAAAAAGAAGAGCCAATATTCCTTAGAAAAAGATGAAATTCCAGTGGTGGATCTAGAAAATCACAAACTGAAGTACATAAAAATTAATAAGAATTGGACAAAAGAGAAACAGGTACTATTTTGAGATCGCTTACAGTGCAAGTCAGGTACAATTTATGAATTAAAAAGCTTCAATATAAGATGATGGCTCACTAAATGCCACACCAACTCCAGTGTCGTTGTGTACATGACATATGTCCTTATGCCAGATGGTAGTTACGTGTCCTATGGGACTAGGCTTCCTGGAGGTCAATGGCAGACAGCCCGGTATTGACCACCGCTGAGGCATAGATGGATTTCTCGATTATTTTATAATAATGATATTCTATATATCTACAAAACAAGTATCATTCTCTTCAGGAACAGCTCTGAGATGGGAATGTAGAAGACTACAGCAGAACCCTTGTCATACACAGGGTGTATGATGAGCAAGGGAATAGATCGGTTAATGTTGATGGACAAAGACTGTTATGTTATACTTTGAACTTTATGGATAGGCTTGCTAGATCCCAACCTCCATAGTGTCTGCTGCATAAGAAGGTACTAAAAAGTATATTTCAACAGGTGCAGAGAACTGATTAGGTATATTTGGTCACTAGATGAAATAAAGGGTTAGGAAGAAGAAGGGCCATGACAGCGATAATGAGACAGAAACCTTCTATTCATAAGATGAAACCACTTGCCTGAGGTTTACATTCCCAAGGACAAGATTTCCTCTTTTAAGGATGCTTTATGTCTGACACCTGTTCCTGATAATATACTTTTCTTAAATATCGCTGATGTGAGTAAAAGAAGCTTTCATACTGTGCCAACCAATGACACATGACCTTCTGATTTGTTCTTTGTTTGAATACTATATACTGAAAACATGAATTCAGTAAAATGCAGCAGATTCCAACCACTCTCTTGTGTGTTGTGTCTGTCTGTCATTCTCTGAACTTGTGCCTTCCTGTTACCAGGACCCTGCTTCTCCCATGGTCTGAGTGGCTCCCTTGAGCCGGTCCGTGGCAACTAAATAAGTAATTTCATATTGATATAGACATTGGTTCCATGGTGATTTTATATAGAAAAATTAATGAATAAATGAATAGATGAGAAAGTTTTTGCAGTGGAATATCAATTAATGAATATAAATGTAATGACTGACTATCATGAAGGAGTGATAAAGTAGTAACTGAGTAAGATAAAAAATCATTAATGAGCAAAAAATTAGCAGGTAAAATTTTGATTTTTAAATGAAGCATTTATATAGTTTTGAAAGATTCCTCCCCCAAAATACCTGTCAATATTAAGGGGATAATAATTACTTAACTGCAAAAAACTGTTAAACTGTTTATATGATAAAAGTGACCACTACCAACAAAAGGACCATCAGGTAACGTGTACATACAGACAAGCGAGAGCATCCATTGTCTTATATCTCTGCCAAAAAATGCAAAATTTCCATCTAATTGTGAAGAAACATTATATAAAACAAAATTGAATGATGCTGGCAACCAGTCTCCAGGACGGTCCCTCTTCATCTTTGACTCCCAGTATCCCCATGCATGCATAGTGTCTGGCCCTGAGAAGACTGATCTTTGTTCTGAAAATGTTGTGACTTCTGAGAATCATGAAAGATATTCTGGCTTTTGTCCTTCTTGATCTGAAATAAGTTAGCTATCTCTCATAATGGGAGAAATTTCAACCCCTATAACCCAACAGTCCATTTTCCACATACACATGAGGAAGAAATGAGGAATCCAGGCAACAGCCACTGACTGCATCTTCTGTGTGCTTTTCCTGTCCCGTTCAACCAGATAGCTGCAGTTCCGGCTATCATTTTGACCACAGTATTGGAGAAGATGTCCAGTCCAGCTAAATTCCTCCAAATTATGACTCAGAAACTAAAAGATACTATTAAGTCTCACTTTAAGCCACTACTAATCATAGGGTAATTTGTTATCATACTGTATAATAGACAAATACTTTGAGTGCCATTCTAGAAAAATAATTACTTCAAAGATATCAAAGAAAAACAATGAAAGAACAACAAAGTTCCAGATCCAGGAATTGGGGAGGGTTCAGTTAGTAAAATGCTTGTTATAACAGCACCAGGGTTTGAGTTCAAATTTCCAGAATCCAGGTAAAAAGCTACACCCATTATACCTCTAATCCTAGCACAAGAGAGGCTGAAACAGACAAATGGAACCTGCTAAGCAGCCAGCCTAGCATAATCTGCCAGTTTGGGGTTCAGAGAGAGACCTTGCCTCAAATAAGAGAGTGGAAAGCAGATGAGAAAAACATTGACATTAGCCTCTAGTCTCACATACATCTTTATGCACATGTGCAAACAGGTGAACACGTACAATCACATATAACACCACACACACACAAACACACACACACACACACACAAATACTCTGGAAGATTTTTTTCAAATTAAAGAAAAAGAGACCCAAGAATCAAATATATGATCCTGAAGGTAGATAGTTTTGTTGTTCTTATTTTTCCATTACAAACAGACTATTGATGTAATCATCAAAATTTGAATACAGTAAAAACTATAAAATAGGAATGTACCAATATTGGTGTCTTGCAATTGATCATTGTACTATAATTGTGGAAACATGTCCTTATTTTTTAAGAAATACACATTAAAATGGAGATAAGTGCCTATAATTATTTAAAATATCAAACGTAGCAATTACATAATATAATTTACATAGTCAAAGATATATACTTTTATATACTTTTTACCGACAGAGAGACAAAATTTCTAAAATATTACCCTTTAGGAAACCCCTTTATAGATATGCAGAAATTAAAACTTTCACTACTTATACTAGAGTAAAAAGACTGCAATACCAGGCAGTGTAATTCCTGAATTTCCACTTTAAGTAAGCCACTTCAGGTTGTTTTCTCAAACTGAGAGTTGACTATATTAATTGAGTTTGGAAATAAATTTACTGGAACAAAATGCAAAACAGGTTTAATGAATATAATACTGTAAATTGACACAGCATACAAATATTGTAGATTAGTAGAAATGAGTATTATTTTGTGAATTGTTTCAGATGTAGGCAGAGAAAAGGTTAATGTCCGTGGTTGCACAGTCAACAAAAAGTAGGCAAGCCAGGCGCTGAGCAGAACTCAGTTTAAGCCAAAAGCAGATTTGTCTGGGGCCTGCTCTCCCTGCCCCTTCCGCCCCTGGCCACCTGCAGATGTGCTCCACAAGTCTTCAGTACCCAGCGCGGAGCAGATGCTATTTAAGGGACCTTCCCCACAGCTTACAGCCAGACGCAGCCGGCACCTAGCCAAATCCCCCTATCCTTGCTGGAGACTCAGAACACTCAGAAAGCAACCTTCTGATGGGCCGCTGCGGTGGCATGGGAGCCTTGGGTTCGCTCTGGGTTTTCTTCACTCTCATCGCGCCAGGAGTTCTTGGTGAGCTGGGCACGGGAGTGCAGATAAGGGAACTCCTTCAGGGCTAGAAAATTTTCTGCGCCTACACAAAGGTTAGAGATCAAACCAGGGATATGGGAGCCCTTCTGGATACTTGTCTGTCCCTGACAACTTTGGAGACTCAGTCAGTCTCTGAAGCAGAATGGCCCCACCTCTTCTGGGAACTGGACCCCCACCACAAACCCAAGCCATGCCTGGGCGCTTTTGAATGACTGCAGCTGCTGTTTGGTGGTTCTCTCTCTCAGGCTCCCAGCCTGTTTAGAATTCAGCCAAGTGCTGCGCTCCTGTGCATGCAGAAATCCTCTCTAGCCATGGAAGGGTTGTTGAGTCCCTGCTTTTCTTAAAGAATAATACCTGATTCTCCAATATGGGTCTCAGAGTTTGTTTGACTTTGATAAGATATTTAAGACTGTGACTTCTGTAACAGTGTATACCTACATAGGTTCTCTTTCAATGTCTCTGTAACAGTTTTTGTTTTTTGATTGTTTTTGTTTCACAGATTGGCTGGCTTTTAAAGTAGTATAGTTTGTTCTGGTAGTGAAGACATAGGTCATAAGACAACCTCAATAGCTGGGTGAATTTTGGCAAGTCGTAATATAATTTATTCTCGTAGTGAATATATTCATAGGTTATAAGATATTTACTATAAGCAAATATCAATAGCTGGGTAAATGTTAGAAAGTCGGTTAGAGCCCCGACCCTCAGTTTCTCACATATGCAATAAAGTTAGAAATGAGCTGTGGTACCATCCCACAGAGCACAGAGAAATCATGAGCTGCTGGGGAAATTAGGTCACGGTACTTGGCTGTTGACGCTTACTAAGTGTAGCAATTAGCAGTTAATGGTGAATCTAGTCACGTATTTGCATTAGTTCTGGTACAACTTCTACTGGAAAACAAATTCTAGGGATGACTGGACCTCGTTTCATGTTCGCTGATGAATGTTTTATGCTTAGTACCATACTTTCCTTAACATACATGACTATTATTTATAAAACTCAGCCATTAGATATTCAGAGTCTCAATGTTAAGGCATTTGCTGATAATTCTAAATAATGGTCTCCCACCCCTTCCTTATTTCTGGCCAGCTTTTCAGATTTATATTCATCCCATTCAAAAATCCTCCATCTACTTCTAAAGGATTTCTAAATCATCCATGTAAAGCCCCTTAGATCTAAATAGATAATTGCACCCTGTCCTCCAGAAACATTTTCTGTGTTATAGTCACTACTCTGATCTTCACTCCTGATGCTAGAAAGAGGTAAAGAGGGAACAGAGACTTTTAAGAAAACCCATATCATGCAATTTGAATAATTATTATATGTATTTATTTGTTTGTTTAGTGGGGGGTGTGCAATCAATGGCTTGGAAGTCAGGGATTATTTACAAGAGTTAGCTCTCTCCTTCCACCTGTGGCTCCAGGGATTAAACTCAGTCAGTCAGGTTTGACAGCAGTGTCTTTAGCCAGTGAGACACGTCACCTGCTACTTTACTTTTCTGATTGGAGGAGAATCCAGTCTTTGGAGATTCTGTACTGTGGCCTGGGAGGTGGGTAGTTTCAATAAAAGTCCAAGGTCTGTTTACTAGAGATGAGACTTCCATTGATCCTCACCCAAAAAGAAAAATTCTTGCCTCTTTTTCACATGGAAAGTCACATTATAAAGTTTCCTCTTTCTTTGTAGTTTCCAGATCTTGTATTCCTCTTGGTCTATATTGTTACCACTGATTGAATCTTATGAATGTAAATGGTTTCCCATATTGTGGAAGATAATTTAGCCTTGTCCTTATTTACATTTGATAATCACACATTATTACCAAATTAGAGTAACTGGTAGAAGTGGTATCACATATAAATCAATTAAAGTAAATTTGATTTCATAAGATATCTAGGATAATTTAGTATCCTATGCTAAAAGCTTTTATTTATAAGATTTTTACTTGTAAGATTGGAGAGATTGCTCAGTAGTTAGAGCACTTGCTGTTCTTGCAGAGGACAAGGTTTGGTTTCCAGCACCCACTTGATGCCTCATAATCACCTGTAACTCCAGTTCTAGGGGATACATAACTGTCTTAAGGACTTTGCAGTCACTGATCACATATAGTGTACATACATACATGTAGGTAAAACACTGTGAGATGTGAAATAAAAAATAAAATCTTAAAACACTTTTAAAGATATTTTTACTGGTATATTTCTGTTTTTTAATTATAAAACCAGAGGATTTTTTTTATTTTTTGTACCCATTATTGTTTGAATATAATGTGTCTCCCATAAGCTCATGTATTTGAACAGTCAGTCTAGAGCTGTCCTTTAGAACCTTTAAAAGGCCATAGATCTATCTGGAGAGTGGACCTTGGAGGTTATATCTCCTCCCCACTTCCAGCTAAACTTTCTGCTTCCTGACTGGTGTCATGTAACCAGCAGCTGTTGAAGTTTTCTTCCCCTAAAGACCAAGCTGCTCCAGTCATGTGCCTTCCTCATCATAATGGATGGTGTCCCCTGGACTATAAGCCAACTGATCCCCTCTCCCTTAAGTTGTATCTGTCAAGTATTTGGTCACAATGATAAGAAAAAGCTGGTACAAATAGCTGACATAACTTCCCTTCAACCCCACCAAAAAGTATATAGACTCATTATTTTATTACTATTTTATTACATAAGGTTATCTTATTACATAAGGTTATATAAGGCCAGTCTCATGCAAGTATATAATATACTTTGAGGATATCTTATGATGCCCCCTCCTTCTTAATCTTCTCCCCTCCCATTAGTACCTTTTGTTCTTCCAGACAGTTTGTATCTACATTCAAATATATATGAGAGAGAAAAAAAAGAGATACCCGTTTTTCTAAATCTGACTTAATTCACTTGATATTATTATCTCTGGTTACATTTATCTTCTTACAAACAATATAACTCCATTCTTGAGAGCTGAAAAGGTTCCATTGTGTATATATACATTTTCTTGATCTATTCTATTGCTGGGCACCTAGGTTGGTTCCATAACTTAGCCGCTGTGAATAGTACTAAAATAAGCACTGATGTGCAAGTATATCTGGAATGCTGACTTGGACTCTTCTTTGTAAATATTTAAAAGCGCAGGATCATGTGGTAGATCTATTTTTGTTATTATTAAATACTATTTACTATTATTTTGTTGAGAAATCTCCAGACAGATTTTTACAGTGGCTGGACTAGTTTACAATCTCATCAGCAATGTAAAAGTGTTGTTCCTTTTTGTATATATCCTTTCCAGCATTTGTTTACTTATTTTCTTCATGACTGTCATTCTGGCTAGTGAAAGATGGAACCTTAATGTGGATTTTATTTTAATCTTCTGATGACTAGTGAGGTTTAACACATTTTTCATATTTATTGAAGATTTTATACTTCATTTGAGAATCCTATGTTCACTCCATTAGTTCACTTATAAATGAGGGATTTTGGTGTTTATGCTTGTATTTCCTTTTATTTCCTTGATATTAATCAGATATCTGTTTAGCAAAGATTTTTCTCCCATTTTGTAGACGATCTCTTCACCTTTTTTTTTTTTGCTGTGCAGATGCTTTATACTTTCATGAAGTCTCATTTGTCAATTGTTGGCACTATTTATTTCCTAAGCAACTGGACCCTTATTTAAAAGTGCTTTCCTATGCTGATATCTTGCAACATTCCTCCTTCATTTTCCTCTATTGTTTTCTGAGTTTTGTGTTATATATTAAGTTCTATATATTCATTATTGAAGTTCTACATGCTTTTCTTTTTTTCCTGACTTCACTGTATTAAAAAACAACAAACAATCCACCCACAGTTTTAAATTGTAAAATGGTGGAATTTTATGAAAAAAGTTCTCCAGATATTATTTCTCTGCTCTGCTTTAAAAGCTTTTGAATCTCTGAATTTCTCCGTGTCTATCCATACTAGAATTATTTTCATAGATAATATTGCCCCAAACAAGAATACTTCTAAAGATCAAATTTGTTAGAATAATTGGTGATAGGCGAGAAACAGAGAAACTTTAGCCTTTCTCAGCTTTGATATTTCTGTGGTCCTTTCTAGGTCAGTGTCAGTCACTGCCAAGGTATACTTTTGCTAAACCTATTATTGAGAGTGATAAATCTGAGTTTGCTGTTGGCACAACTTGGAAATACAAATGCCTCCCTGGGTATAGTGGGAAGCCGTTCGTAATCACCTGCTTAAAGAACTCCAAGTGGTCAGAGGCTCGGCAGCTCTGTAATCGTGAGTACTCCTACAAGCCATGTTTGTCTTCATCACTTTATCTGTACAGGATAGTATGCCATTTTCCAGACAAAAGACAAGTAAATTAGTATGTCATGGCAAGCAAAGTGTGATGCCAGCCTCTTTGTTTCCTTTAACTCCTAAATTTTCTGAATACCAGGGTTTAAGTCATCACCATGGTTTAGCATCATCTTCCTGACATCGTTCTATGATTTTTACACTGTGTTAGAGATTAAATGTCAGTATACAAAATAATATTAGTTTCATCTTATCCTTACCACATTTAATTCAAGAGATATTTTTATTAACTAACATGAGTGAAGCAGTTGACAGGGGATTGTGTAAGGGACAACACAAGTTACACATATATAACATATAACTGAGGATTGAACACAAGGCATTGTTCAGGCGAGGCAAGCACTCTATCTCCAGGCTTTATGATGTTGTTTAATAGTAGAGGTAAACTGCTATTCAACCATAGGAAAATAAATGCTGTCTAAGAGAATTAGGGAGATTGAGGCCTTCTGGACAGAAATTTAGAGGAAATAATATCTTTGATATTTTAGGTTTTTTGCTTGTTTTTCTTTTTTTTTTTTTTTGAGACAGAGTTTCTTTGTGTAACAGTTCTAGCTGTCCTGGAACTCGCTCTTGTAGACCAGACTGGCCTCAAACTCACAGAGCTCTGCCTACCTCTTCCTCCCAAGTGCTGGGATTAAAGGTGTGCACCACCATCACCCAGCAGAAATGATATCTTTGGAAAAATTGGAAAAAGATCAGTATGGTTTGAGTACATATAAACTCCAAGATTGTATACTTTTTCCTGTGAATAATGGTAATCCATCATAAATTTTTGAGTGGGAAGTATGATAGATTTATATTTATTTATATTATATTTATTATTATAAATATTATATTCATAATATTATATATAAAAGAAGAAATTTGGGCTAGAGAGTTAAGAGCACTGCCTGCTCTTCTAAAGGTCCTGAGTTCAATTCCCAGCAACCAGATGATAGCTCACAAACATCTAGAATGAGATCTGGTGCCCTCTCCTGGCCTGCGGGCATACATGCAGGCAGAATACTGTATACACAATAATTAAATAAATCTTAAAAAGAAAGGAAGGAAGGAAGGAAGGAAGAGAAAGAAAGAAAGAAAGAAAGAAAGAAAGAAAGAAAGAAAGAAAGAAAGAAAGAAAGAAAGTCATGCTATGTTATGGAGGAAGTGCTAGACCAAGGGAGGCCATCATTAGAAAGGTGAATTTTGCTCTCAACAATACAGTAAAACAATAAAAATGTCAAAGTGTTTTGGGAGATATTCTGGAATCCAGGCCCTCAAATTTTGTAACTAATTGAACTGAAGGATTAGAGGATGAGTTATAGAGAGGAAATGATGTCTGTAGGCTTTTAATACAGGAGACATGGTAAATGATGCTATTAGCTGAGATTTTAATAATGAGAACATAGAGTTTTTAATATAGAATTGACCACAAATAAAGTTTTCTTTCATACACAGAAATATAGACAATAGGGTTTGAACAGTGTTCCAAAATTGACTGCTCCTTGAAAAAGTGCACATTTTACAAATTTCAAAAATTGCTTTGAGAAAACATTCGCAGAACCATCAGCAAGTCCAGTCAGGGAATTTAATAGAAAATGCATAAAGTCTTCTCCATCCCAGCCCCAAATCCTGTTTTGTTTCCCTTGTAGGTAGATCATGTACAACTCCTGGAGACCTCCTCCATGGCTCTGTGAATATAAGTATGGGTATCAAGTTTGGGTCAACAATTACATATTCTTGTAATACAGGGTGAGTAGGCAGGAAGCCTCTTCAGGGTATATGGATACAGAAATAATATTTCTAACCAGAAACCCTTTAATATGAATAAAAACAAAATCATGGTCTCCTTGGCCTTCTTTAGGAATGACATTTCAGTGTTGCTCAGTTAAGGGGATCCTTAGAAAGAAAGAAGATGGAGCTACCCTGCTTCAATTTTAAGTCTCCGGTGCTATTGACAAGAAAGTCAAACTTCATTTGGCTATAATGTTGAACCTAGTAAAGAAGCACTACTTTATCACTATTTCACCGTATCATGCATGTTATTCTACCCTTTTCTCATTCTATACGTGGAAAAAAATTAGGCTTTTCTAAAGTGTTAAGTGTGACCTGGATGTGATCAAGCACCTCTTTGCCTCCAGATATCGACTCATTGGTGACTCATCTGCTACATGTATTGTCTCAGACAATAGTCTAATTTGGGATACTGACAGGCCTACTTGTGAATGTGAGTAAAACGATCTCTTTACGGCATCCTACCAAATTTTTCTTATCCCTTTCTAAAGGGAAACTGGGCATCTGCGCATAAAAATGAGTGCCTCAGATATTTCATTCGGTTTTGGTTGTTATGGACACAGCTCTGGCTGATAGTCTTCCATGATCTCTAATTCTATCACACTATTCCATTAATGTTCTTATATGATGTTATTTATTGGTGAATAAGTTCTTACATTTAAAATATGCATGAGTTTACACATGACAAATGCAACCAAGTAAAATTAAATCACCCCAAGAAGTCTTTAGTAACAAAGTCTGTACCCTGTCTGGCTTCATAGTTTTTTGACCTTTTAATCAGCCAGTTCCATGTATTTTCCTTTCTGACTTATTTTTATTTGATCAGAATACAGAATTTCATTATTAAAAATAAGTTGTAGGTAAAGTTTAAATTTGGTTTATGAAAATGAAGACTAAATTTTCAGAAAATATAACATTTCAATGCCTTCTCTCTTTTCTTAACTACTTCCCTTCGAAAGCTATTCCTTGTGAGTCACCTCCAGCCATTGCCAATGGGGACTTTTACAGAAGCAGTATAGACACCTTTTTCTATGGAATGGTAGTAAAGTATCATTGCCATGTTGGAAAAAATGGGGAAAAACTGTTTGACCTGGTGGGTAAGGAATCAATACATTGCACCAGCAAAGACAATCAAGTTGGCATCTGGAACAGTCCACCCCCTCAGTGTATTCCTATAGTCAAGTGCCCACTGCCACAAATTGAAAATGGAGAAGTGGAGTCTGGATTTAAACATTCCTTCTTCTTAAATGACACAGTAATGTTTAAGTGCAAGTCTGGCTTTACTATGAAAGGCAGCAGTATAGTGTGGTGCCAGCCAAACAGCAAATGGAGCCCTCCACTGCCAACATGCTTCAGGGGTAAGTTGGGCTGAAACTTTGGGTATCTGGACAACAAATATTTGCAAAATGTTTAACGTTACTAGTCATCAGGGAAACGCAAATCAAACCACAATTATATGTGCCTTCACTTTATAATGACTCATCAAAAAATATAGAACTGGGGAGTTGGCTCAATGTATAAAGTGCTTGTTGTACAAATGTGAAGGCTTGAGCTTAATAAACAAAACCTATATATTAAAAAAGCCTTGTGTAGTGGCACATGCTTATAATCCCAGAATCTGAGAGGCAGAGACAGACAGATCCCTAGAGCTTGCTGACAAGCAGCCAGTCTAGCTTAGCTGGTGAGCCAGTTCCCTTGTCTCATAAGATAATCTCTTCTATATGCATATGTATCAGGGTATACTCCCGCATACATACACATACACACACACAAGCTTAAGGGCCTGAATCAATTTCTACACATATAAAGACTCCTACATTGCACAATATATCAAATACTGTTAAGAATAGAGACAAAAGTTAGATTAGATGGGGGAAATAAGTTCCAGTGTCCCTATAAACAGTAGAATTCCCACTGTTTATTATATCTTTTCATATGCATTTTAAAATCTTGAATAAAGGATTTTGAAAATTTTCACTTGCAAATAAATAAGTTTTAGAAGACAGATGTTTACCCTTATTTTCATATTACACAATATACTTATCTGAGCATCACGTGGTTTCTCAAAAATATGTACGATTACATCTTTTGAAGAATAAAAGTAATTTTAAAATCCAGTACAAAAATTCATCATTAGAGTTTTAGATAGTTAAATTTTATTTAAATGAGGATAATTTCTCCATTATATTGGCCATATTGAAAGATGGAATTGACTAAGATAAGAATTTTATTCAAAATTTTGTAGATATCTATCTTGATAATGAAAATAAGTTTTGTGGAAGAAAGCTGGTAGTTATCTTGAGCCTGTGGCCCCCATTCTTGCCTTCTACTCCTAATATAAACTGTCTGCCTTTCTAAAAGCCTGGCAACTAAATTCAGAAGCCTTGTTTTTGAAATTAAAGGAATGTGGCAGATTTGGGTGGGGAAAATTTGTGTTATGAACTTTGATTCCTTTTCTAACCTGTTGATGGAAGGCTATCTCTGATTGTTTAATAAAATAAAGTGAAAATGAGTAACAGTAATATTCACTGGCATGGATCAAGAAAGAGAGCAGATAGACATATGGCTTTTCACATCTGGGCAGAAAAAGGCACATTAAGCCCACTCTATGACCCTACTTAGAGTTGCTATGAACACCTTTATCCCACCCAACTAAGCACAAGACAGCTAGCTGTAAGTTATAAAGAATAAAGTTCTTATTGCTGAAATAAAAGGACTTTCTGGTCCCATTCTTTCCTCAGGATGTCTACCACCTGAAAATATCCACCACGGTGATTATAATGAAAAAAATAAGGAATTCTTTTCTGTTGGCCAGGAAGTGTCATATACCTGTGAACCTGGCTATAATCTCGTTGGAACTAACCTGGTCCAGTGTACATCCTTTGGAACCTGGAGCCATGCAGCCCCAACATGTGAAGGTGCCTAGCCACTCTGCTCTATTCAAAGGAAACTCAGCAGTTTCCTGACTCTTCATGTGCAAGCTCTCTCTTTTTTTCCCTAGTGAAATCATGTGATGCCCTTCCAAGCCAACTTCTCAATGGCCATGTGATTCTTCCTTCTAACCTCCAACTTGGGGCAGAGGTTTCCTTTGTTTGTGATAAAGGGTGAGTGTGAACTGATAGGTCCTGCCCTGATGGTTTCCCATAACGATTTCAAAATATGAATTCTAAAGTTAGCTAAGCTTTCACTGTCTTAAATTTTCTTTTCTTTTCTTGACCTTTTCTGACTAAGAACTCTGTCATTAACCTATTCCTTATTCTTTTCTTCAAGTGTGTATATTTTGTGCTTGACCAGCAAAAGTAAGAGATGTCATTTCATCAACTGGAAATTCGAAGTTTTGGTTCACAAATTAAGACTCCTGTTATGGAGAATGAATGAAAACTTTGGACTCAGTGATACTCATTGAAATTAGTTTGGGTAACAAGGTCTTTGCTATTTTCTCTATAGAAATTGAGACTGCTTTCCTCAAAATGATCTAGATAATCTTGACATGTGGATGCTAAAGAGGAGTGGGAGAATTCTAAAGAAAAGACACATTTTTAGTATGTTTAATCCATTATTGATTTATTGTTTGGTGGAGCAGATTCACAAGTTACTGTGTGCTTTTTCTTAAGTCATAACATTTTAAAATGCATACCATCCTACAAATACTGGAAAGAAGTGATTCAGTCTGTACAGTTGAAAGGTGGGTTGTTCTAGTGATGATCTGCTGCTCCTTATTGTTTAAGGTTCCAGTTAAATGGCAAATCTTCTAGTCAGTGTGTCCCAGAAGGAGAGGCAGTAGTCTGGAACAATAAGTTTCCTGTCTGTGAACGTGAGTAGAAAATAAACATAATCAAATGTGGATCTTGTCTTTGATTCTGTATTCCCATGCAGTCATCAAATAAAACACCTCACCAACTATGTACTTTAAATAGATATTTGCCACTTTTCTTTTTAAAAATGCAGGGAAAAAGTATTAAATTTGTTCACATGTTAACATATTAAATTGTGATTCTGTAAACAAAGTAACAAAGGCTTTGAAAAGTTGCCTGTAACAAAACTACGCATAGGCCTTTCTAGTGTACTAAAACTCTGGTTGTGCCTCCATATGTCATTTCTTGTACTCAAGAGCTCCATCTAGGGTCAAGTGGACATTAGTGGAAATTCATTCTGCAACAATTCATATACAACTATGATGTATATATGTCATAGTAGCTGTTAACAGCTAATACTTTTAAGGATGTATAAAGAATATGAGCTCAACACTCAAATGGTTTTCTCAAAGGTATCCAGGATTAAGGTGTTACAAATGACTTTAATGAGGCTGCAGTGTCTTCAGTAACAGTGTCTCATGTGACTATGCCACCTGCAAGCTGTCTGTGTATTTCAAATAGGAGCTGAATAACTAGTGTACTTTGGATACTGTATCTGCCCATTTCACATGTTTTTGTCTCTCTATATTCTTATCATACCTTATGTAGCCTGAACTGTAGACTGGGAAACTGAGGCTAGGGGAGGGTACGACTTGCCTAAGGTCATACAGCTATTGAATGACAGTGAGGATTTGAAATCAGGGCTATTAAGCCCAAATCAGCCCACATTGACTCCCTAGCAGCAATTAGCATGTCATTAACATATTTTAAGTTTGCCTTTTTTTTTATTAAAAATATTTAGGATAAAATTTTTATAGAAAAATCCCTGAAAGTACAGAATAGATAGATTTTTTTCTATTTTCTCTATTTCTTTGTTGTCTGGTTAGAGTGATTCATATTGATTTGACAAGGACCAAGAAAGAAGTAAGGACATAAGCATTTGGAAATGAAAACACTATAAGTAAAGTCATAACCAAGCATTGAATTTCTAAGAATAGTTCTTGACCTATACTTGGAGCTTTTACTTATTTTTTTAATGATTAATATACTCATCTGGTCTCTTCTACTTTTCAGAGATTTCTTGTGACCCTCCTCCTGAAGTTAAAAATGCTCGGAAACTCTTCTATTCTCTTCCCATACCCCTTGACACTGTTGTGCGGTACACTTGTTTACCTAACTACCGCCTCATTGGAGAAAAGACTATGCTTTGTAAAAGTAAAGATCAAGTAAAGGCCGCTTGGGATAAAACTCCTCCTGTATGTGAAAAATGGAATAAGTATTCTAAATGTTCAGAGCCCAGCATACTAGGGGGATTCAAAAGTAAACAATCTAAATCACCACCATTCACACATGGTGATTCTGTGACATTTACCTGTAAAGCCAACTTCACCATGAAAGGAAACAAAACAGTCTGGTGCCAAGCAAATAATATGTGGGGACCATCACCACTGCCAGTCTGTGAGAGCAGTAAGTATAGAAATAAAATTCCCTAGTCAAGGGCCTGGGGTTTACCAGTTGTGAGTGTTGAATGTGGAAATGAAGCTTCATGAAGGCCTGAGACCTGCCAACCTGTGAGAGTGTTAAGTATGGAAGTGGAACTTCACTGAAGACAAGGATCTTCCACTTATGGGAAGATCATTTTGTTGCATGCTCCCAAAGGCTGAATTGTATAGGTCTTGTCCCTAGAGCTTGAGCTGGCTTGTGGGAGCCCATCCCCAATGCTGGGGTGCCTCTGCAAACATGTTCACAAGAGATCTACTCTCTATTCACACCATCTCCTGGGCTCTAGCATTTCAAGTCAACTAACTTTAAAAATAGAGATTGCTGTGAATGTTTTATTCTTGTTTCATCTAGTTTATATTGTTAATGAATCTAATTTTTAAGTTTAATTCTGTGGGCATAGAAATTGTCAGTATTTGACAAAATTATACTATCAAAATATTTTTAATAAAGAACAATATTGATAAATTCTAAATAGATTATAGAACTTAGGAGGTGCTATTATAAATATGATTCACTCTGACTTGGGAGCACAGCTACAATCTCAGCTTCACAGGAGGCTGAAGAAAGAAATTACAAATCCATGGCCTGCTTGGGCCACACTGTAATTTTTTGTTTTTATTTTTGTTTTTGAGACAGGGTTTCTCTGTATCTTAGGAGCCTGTCCTGGAACTAGCTCCTTTTTTTTTTTTTTTTTTTTTTTTTGTTTTTTTTGGGGACTGGTTTTTTTTTTTTTTGGTTTTTCAAGACTTGTAGACCAGACTGGCCTTGAACTCATAGAGATCAGCCTGCCTCTGTCTCCCGAGGGCTGGGTTTAAAGGTGTGCGCTACCACCACCTGACTCACACTGTGTTTTTAAAGCCAGCCTGGGCAACTTAGCCAGATTTTGTCTCAAAATAAAACATAACTAAAGGGATTGTGGGTGTGACTCAATGGCAGAGTGCTTCCCTATTTCAATCCCAAGTACCATAAATTATATTTATCTTACTTATATATCAATAGGTTGATTACTAGTAACCTCAAAATGGATTGTCTATGAAAAACCATAAAGATTTTGGTGAACCTATACATATTCAAATGAAAAAAATCTAATATTTTTATAAAGTAATAAAAAGAAATTAGAATAGTACGTGTTATACATAATGCACATATTTATATACTTGTTATATATAAGATAATGATAAATTGTATTAGTAATGTTTATTAGAGTAATCCTCTGAATGATAGGCTTAAAGATGAATAAAAATGAGCCTTCTAGCAACTGAAATTTTTCTCAAGGCAAAAATACAACTAAAGATGAAAATAGAAAAATAAAGCTGGGTGTAGTGGTACAGACCTTTAATCTGCACAGTTGAGAGGGAGGTGGATCTGTGTGAGTTCAAAGATAGCCTGATTTACATAGAGAGTTCCAGGACAGCCAGAGTTGCTTAGTGAGACCATATCCTCCCAAAATTGCAATTATTTTTGCATAAAGGGAAACAAGCCATATCCGGTTGGGATTGAGTTGAAAACTAATGGTGACTGGTCACCAAAGATTGCATGCCATTTATTTAGATCTGTGTCCTAAGCTGGCATCTATATTCATAAGTATATAGTATCTGATGGCCTTTTCTCCTTTGTGTATGTATGAAGATTTCCCTCGAGAGTGCCCATCACTTCCCACGATCCGTAATGGACACCGTACAGAGCAGCATGTTGCCAAGTTTGTTCCAGGGTTGTCTGTGACATTCAGTTGTGATTCTGGTTATTTGCTTAATGGACAAAAGACAATTAAGTGCTTATCTTCGGGAGACTGGGATGGTGTCTTCCCCACATGCAAAGGTATCTTAAATTTGCTATCTACTGGGGACTGGCCTGATATTTGTCAAGACTTACTTCTTATTCTTGCCATTCTTTCCTAGAGGCCAAATGTGAACCTCCAGGACAGTTTCCCAATGGACAGATAAAAGAACCTATAGGTCTTCAGGTTGGCAAAACTGTGCACTTCTCCTGTAATGAAGGGTGAGTATCAGGAGGGTCTGTAAATTTTAATACCCTTGGATTATATGTGCCTGCTGTGAAGTATAATGTTGTCTGAGGTTTCTGTGTATCTTTGGCTCTCCTGTTCCTGCAATCATTAAGTCACAAAGAAAATCATACAGAGGTCTACATTAATCTACTGATTGGCCCATTAGCTCAGGCTTCTTATTAACTCTTATAACTTATATTAACCAATTATTCTTATCTGTGTTAGCCACATGGTTTGGTATCTTTTTCAGTGAGGCAGTCACAACTTCTTTCTTCTGTGTCTGGGCAGGACTGCAGAGAAACAGGCTTTCCTCTTCCCAGAATTCTCCTGTTCTCATTGCCCTGCCTCTACTTCCTGTCTGATTGTCCCACCTATACTTCCTGCCTGGCTAGTGGCCAATCAGCATTTATTTAAAACATAATTGACAGAATACAGAATTGTCCCACAGCACTATAAAGTCAGGAGAAGGAATGTGAATGAGCCTAGACGTTATTCAGGAATAATCTGGAATGAGGTAGTGCAAAAGAATAATAAATGGGTAACTGGACAGATTAAATGGACCTGTGATAGATTTAAAGGTCAAGCTTACTAGTTTTTCAAAACAAACTGCCTAATAGTACTAAATTTTAAACTGTCTCCAGATACATATTACAAGGACAACCTTCTAGTCAGTGTGTAATTGTTGAACAGAAAGCCATTTGGACCAAGAAGCCGGTATGTAAAGGTAGGTAAGACAGTGGTGGTTTGGTAAGGAAATCCAGGGGTTCACACACAATGCATCCTTGGCTTTGCTATAAGCATGTGTGGTGTGTGTGTGTGTGTGTGTGTGTGTGTGTGTGTGTGTGTGTGTGTGTGTGAAGAAGGAGGGGGGGGGGGGGGGGGGGGGGGGGGGGGGGGGGGGGGGGGGGGGGGGAGAGAGAGAGAGAGAGAGAGAGAGAGAGAGAGAGAGAGAGAGAGAGAGAGAGAGCAAAATACAACAAAACAAAACTAGAAATCTTAAGGGTCTGATCTGCACCACAATGCCCTTTAATTACCTTTTTATTCTGTTTCCTTAAGTCAAATGAAGCAAGCAACTTTTCTTTCTCTCAAAGACCCATGTTCTTAGTGATGAAATTTGAGCCATGCACATAAAGAAGATTGTGTATTTGGTAACTAGAATGAAGATATTAGCAAAGGAGACTTACTCAAAAATAAAGTTTTAAAATCACATTTTAATTATATTGCATTAGTTGACTGAATGACTCATTGCAGATTCAGAAATCACTGTTTTTTACCTTCTCTAGAAATTCTCTGCCCCCCACCTCCACCTGTTCTTAATGGAAGACATACAGGCAGCTTTTCAGCAAATGTATCATATGGAAGCACAGTTACCTACACCTGTGACCCAAGCCCAGAGAAAGGAGTGAACTTTATTCTTATTGGAGAGAAGACTATCTATTGTAGCAGCGACAGCAAGAAGAGTGGGATCTGGAGTGGCCCTGCTCCACGTTGTGAACTTTCGACTTCTGCAGTTCAATGTCTAAAACCCCAGATAGATAGAGGTCAAATTTTATCTATTTTGAAAGATAAATATTCCTATAATGACACTGTGACATTGTCTTGTGAATCTGGCTTTAACTTGAAGGGCAGCGAGAGAATTCGATGCAATGCCCAGGGCACATGGGAACCATCAGTACCAGTATGTGAAAAAGGTGAGTGCTATCAGAAGATGAATCATTTAAAAAATTTAGAGGAAGGGCCTATGGACTTTACACAGGGCCCTCTGTAGTCCCTACACATTCAGTCACACAATAGTGGATGTAAATAAGAAAGAAGTCTTTCTTAGCCCTCCCTTGCCTCTATGGAAATACACTAAAGTTTACTAAGTTGTTCATTTCTCTTAGAAATATAGGAGCAAAAATACGTGTTTGTCTTAACAGTATTTTTTTCCTGGTTTTTTAGAGACAGGGTTTCTTTGTAGCTTTGGAGCCTGTCATGGAACTAGTTCTTGTAGACCAGGCTAGCCTCGAACTCACAAAAGTCCACCTGCCTCTGCCTCCTGAGTGCTGGAATTAAAGGCATGCACCATCACTGCCCGGCTTTAACAGTAATTTTTAAAAGGGAAGCTACCTAAGCTTTCACCTGCAGGTATATTAAAATCTTCCATAAAGTCTTCTAAGATAATTCCTTCAGAAGGGAAAAGCTGGTGTAATGTCAAAAATGCTGCAACTGGGGAGACTAATACAAGAAGGTTGTGAATTTGAAATCAACTTGGGGCATATAGTAAAACCCTATATTTTAAAAGAAAAATGAAAGGAAAAAAAAAAGATTGACTGAGGCACAGGAAATGAGTTATAGCAAGCAGGAGCCAAACAGATCAGTGGCATCCCGAGTACAGAAAAGAAAATGTAATTGAGAAATGATAACCTGAAATTACCCAAGGACAGCAAAAATACCCTCTGTTCCAGACAGCTGCCATGAGAATGGGATTCTATTAATTTTGACTTCTTTGGCTCAGTTTCTAGTTTTTACTCTAAAATTGTTTCATTGTATCTGCTTTTCCTTTAGAATGTCCAGCTCCTCCTAAAATCATCAATGGGCAAAAAGAAGATAGGCATGTCCTCAACTTTGATCCTGGAACATCCATAAGATATAGCTGTGACCCTGGCTATTTACTGGTGGGAGAGGATATTATACACTGTACTCCTGAGGGAAAGTGGACACCCATTGCCCCCCAGTGCAAAGGTATTACACTACAACTACAGATATTTAGCCTAAGATTGTCTTGTGCTGTTACTCATTTTTATCTTTTTTTCTTAGTTGCAGAATGTAAACCAGTAGGACCACATCTCTTTAAGAGGCCTCAGAGTCAGTTTATTAGTGCAGCTGTAAATTCTTCTTGTGAAGAGGGGTGAGTGAAGAATGTCTCATCCTGAATGAGGTCTGTCTTATCAGTACCCACTGAAAACTGTGTGCAAGAGTTCGCCTTAAAGGTCTTCCTTTGTCATGTGCTCATGGGTATTTATCACAATACTTTTCCATGCATGGGAACTACACAATGGATGAATGGTGCTGAAGTAGGCTATATGGTTTTTTTTTCTGTTGCGTCTGCCTCTGGAGACCATAGTGCTTGCTTAGCTTATTGGTAATGACATGGCCAAATGATACGACTCTTTGTCTCCAGGTCCCAGTTAAGTGAGAGTGCTTATCAGCTGTGCCAGGGTACAATTCCTTGGTTTTTAGAGATTCGTCTTTGTAAAGGTGAGTAACAAAATTGACAGAGGACTTAAAGTGATATAAGATAGACTATGTTACTGGAATTAGCACACTATTTTGTCAAGTTTTATGGCTATTTATTTTGCCATCTTTCTTCTCTCACCTCTTTCTACTTTAATCAGTCAAATTCCATGTACTTAGTTACCAAGTTTATGTTGTGGTTTAGGATTATCAGAATATAGAGAGTGATCTGAGTCACTACCCTACTTTGGGTTACATCAAGGTTTAGTGAAGAGATTAGGAGATTGATATCCAATATCAACTCAGATCTATTCCTACTGTCTAATACCTGTATGACCTTTGGCAACATATATGAATTGTAGAAACTCTAGTCTCATCAGTAAAAGTTCCACTAAACCACAGGTTTGGGTTGTTAGAATAAAATGGTACTGTACCTACTTTCTGGATGATGAAAATTCCTATTGTAAAGCAGGTGCTCAACCAGCAATAATTATCCTTAGTCAACCATATAGCTATTGTAACAAAATATCCTCCAAAAGTGTGATTCTGTCACTTGTACCTTTGATTCTCATACTGACTGTGATAAAATAATTACTTATTTAATTAGTGAATATTGGGTCTTACTACTGCACGTTCCTTTTTCAATACCAATCTTATTTTCATAAAAATCAAATATTAGATATATAATAACATTTAATATAGCTCATAGCATGAGCATTCATCCACACCCTTCATAGAAACATGGTCATAACTTTGCACTTCTAACCCTGGTTCAGATTCTACAGTATCTTTTTATGTCTCCAGAAATTACCTGTCCACCACCTCCTATTATCCACAATGGGACACATACAGGGAGTTCCTCGGAAGATGTCCCATATGGAACTGTGGTCACCTACACGTGTTATCCTGGGCCAGAGGAAGGAGTACAATTCAACCTCATTGGGGAGCGCACCATCCACTGTACAAGTGGAAGCAGAGGAAGAGGCTCCTGGAGTGGCCCTGCTCCTCTCTGTAAACTTTCCCTCCCTGCTGTTCAGTGCTCAGATGTCCATGTGGCAAATGGATATAAGCTGCCTGGCAAAGGAGCCCCATATTTCTACAATGATAGTGTGACGTTCAAGTGTAACAATGGATACATTTTGAATGGAAGTAGTCAGATTCGTTGTAAAGCCAATAATACCTGGGATCCTGAAATACCACTTTGTGAAAAAGGTAAAAAGTCAAACCCAATGGGAATTTTAAATGGCATTATACTTATTTATATTTTTCTTTTCTGTTTTTTATTTTTTTTTTTCTCAAGACAGAGTTTCTCTGTGTAACAGCCCTAGCTGTACTGGAACTCACTTTATAGACCAGGCTGGCCTCGAAGTCATAGAGATCCACCAGCCTCTGCCTCCTGAATGCTGGGATTAAAGGCATATGCCACCACCACAGCCAGCTTCTTTTTTTTTTAATTGAAGAACTGGAGATCAAACATAGGGCCTTACACAAACTAGGCAAGTATAAACTACATCTCCAGCCACTATAGTTTAATTTATTATTTTCTACTCAAAACAAGAGTCTTTTTTAAAAAAGGCAAAAGGGATATAGATTTCCTTCATATTTCCTCCATTACATAGAAAGCTATACATGTGTTGTATTGTGGTCTTTGCATGAGGGTACCCTTGGATTTGGAACATGTTCAGGGTATTGATGAAGGAAGGTCATTGGATAATTAATAAAGAAACTGCTTGGCCTGATAGGTTAGAACATAGGTGGGTGGAGTAAACAGAACAGAATGCTGGGAGGAAGAGGAAGTGAGCTCAAACACCATGCCGCTCCTCTCCGGGGCAGACGTGATGAAGCAAGCCACCAGGTCAGACATGCTGAATCTTTCCCGGTAAGACTGGTGCTACACAGATTACTAAATATGGGTTAGGCAAAATAAGTCACCATCTCGTGGTGCTACACACATTAATAGAAATGGGCCAAGTGGTGTTTATATAAATACAGTTTGTGTGTTGTTATTTTGGGGCATAAGCTAGCCAGGTGGCCGGGAGCCGGGTGGCAGGAATGCAGCCTGCAGCTCCCACTACAGGGTATAAAATGAGAAGAACTTTTAAGGAAGCCTTTTACAAAAAAAAAAAAAAAAAAAAAAAAACCCAACAACCAAGTAATTAATGGAACATTCACATCATAGTCAGGGCTTCCCAGTCCTAAAGACAGTAAACATATTTGTTTCCTACAGCATGAATCCAGGATCACTAGTACAGCCACAGAACAGAAAACATTCTATTATGGATAAGAACTTACTGAATCATGCCTTCAAAGTTTCAGATTGGCACCAGCTGTTGTGTTCTTACAGTTCTGGAATAGAGTGCTGTTGTTGGTGTTTATATGGCAAGTTCACTCTCCAGGCCACCACCCTCTTGGGCACCACCATTGTTGATATGCATGTAGAAATATGCTCCTCTGTATCTAGATTAATATGAACAATATACTTGTGACCCTTACCACAAGTTATGTGAAACAAATCCACCCGCTGCCTTCAGGCCTATTGAGTCTTGCCCATAAGATGAATGCTATTTTGGTTCTTGAGTCATTTTTCTTTATGCTATGAGGAACCTAAAAGCAATCTCAACTTTGTCTCTTCAGAAGGATGTGAGCCTGTGCTAGAACTTCATGACCTTCCAGATGATTCACACATAAAACTAGTGAATAGAGCCTGTCAACATGGGTGAGTATGAAGTTGTCTCTCTAAGAAAGAATTGTGTCTTGGTAAATCCCTTTGGGGATTCCTCATGCTTCGACCCACAATGGTCGAACTAGCAACAGGTCCTGCCTGCTTTTCTGACATGGAGAGAGCTTTGCTAAGAGTTTCTTATATGTAAATAGCTTTCTCTTTTGGAGGACCAAGAGTTTAAGTTTCTTTGTGCTAAAGCTGACATTTAGAAGTACCTCTGTAGTTGTACAGTCTATGTTGTAGAAGTAAAATATTGAAAGTAAATGTAGTATAACAACTTTTTCTAGGTACCAGTTGACTGAACATACTTATGAAAAGTGTCAAAATGCTGAGAATGGGACTTGGTTCCAAAAGATTGCAGTTTGTAAAGGTAAATTATGGACACAGGGGAAGCCAACTATGGATTAGGGAGTTAGAAAGGGATAATCAATTAGTGGAGAGGAAGTTTACAACTTCTTTAATAGTTTATGCTTTTCTATGTATAAGATATGGAAAATCTTTTAGTCTTGATCAATGCTGGCATTAATAAGCAATTTGCCAAGTTCGAGTGAGTATTTGCCATATGTGTATGAATATGAATGTATATATATTCTAATTTTACTAAATAGAAAAATATGTGGGATATTTCTAGAATATAGGAACACAGTTATATTTCTTCCTTTATATTTCTTTTTATTTTCTGGAATTTTGGGGATCAATTTGCACATAAATTTCATGTTCTAATTTCCAAAATTTAAATAATTTTCTATTCATATAAATTATAAGGCACATGTATAGTGTTTATATTACGGTGGAGACTCAAATTCTCCAAATCTCTTCTGCAGTTATTCTCTGTCAACCTCCACCAAAAATTTCAAATGGAAAGCATACAGGAATGATGATAGAGCACTTCCTATATGGAAATGAAGTCTTTTATGAATGTGATCAAGGGTTTGATCTTCAAGGAGAGAAAAGTTTGCAATGCAGAAATGATCCTAAAGGACATGGATCTTGGAGTGGGCCTCCACCAAAATGCCTAAAATCTTCTCCTCCAACTCATTGTCCTGATCCAGAAGTCAAACATGGATACAAACTCAACAAAACTCATTCTGCATATTCCCATAATGACATATTACATGTTGCCTGCAATCATGGCTTCATCATGAATGGCAGTCACTTGATAAGGTGTCATACCAATAACACATGGATACCAGGTATACCAACTTGTATCAGAAAAGGTAAGCCATTTTTATTGATTAAAAGTGAAATCTTTTACAAAATAAAAAAGGCTTTTGAGTATGCATTCTACCTAAAGCATCTAAAAACTATAGCAGTTAGTGTTTTATGAGATGATTTGCCTTTTCCTATCTCTTCACTTGACTCCTTTTTCTCTTTCCTTTGTACATTATAATGATTAATTTATATATTAATCAATCTCTAATTTATTCATTCTTATGAATTTAGTTGGAAAACTGCACAACTTTGGGCAAATACTTGAGAAAAATATTTTGAAATTTTGATATTTAAGGCTATTGTGCCACCGAGAAAGAGGAAAAGTTCTGAAGAATGAACCTGACCTTCAAACCCACTATATGGTCTCATAATTTTAGCTGTTATTTGACAGCTTGTTCCTGCTAGTGCCTGTCCTCATTAGAGATTGTCAGGTGCAGCCTCATTAAATTAAGCTCCACAAAGGTGTGGCGTGACGCACACTCTGCTCTTCGTGCTACGTGTTACAGTACAGTTCGCGAGCTGGGCAAGGGGCAAGAGATTGAAACACACACACACACACAGGGGCGGGGAGGGAGGGAGAGATGAAGAAGGGGAAGAAAGGAGGGAGAGAGAGAGGGAGGGAGAAAGGGAGGAAGGGAGGAAGGGAGTGAAAGAGGGAGGAGAGAGACAGAGACATGGGTCATCCTTGAATTCCCCAAGAATGCCAACTTTATTGTGTTCCAGGGCAGCTTATATAGTGCCTTCCCTGACCAATGGCCATGTCCTAGCTCTCAGGATTTTGAGCTGCAAAGCCCCCAGAAACCACTCCCCTGTCTTGTGCTCAGAGCAGCTGCAAGCACAGAAAAATAAGTTGTTTGTTCAGAGCAGCTGCAAGCATAGGAGAAACAAGCTGTTAACAGGAAATTCAGGGTATGGGGATCTACAGCCCCCAACAGTGTGATTTCACTGTTCCTGGGCATCTGTTTGTTTATATTGGGATGTTTGGTGCTTAGATAATTAGCCTGTTTATAACATAGAGGGAAAAATAATAGGTCAATTAGCTGTAAAAACCATTATTCTTGCTCAATTGAGGGAATATAATAGAATAGCATAAAGTAATAAATTATATTTGTAGACCACAGTTACAGATATAGCACCATAGCATCATGTGTTCTACACTTTTCTCCTAATCGTACATGGTATAGAGAGAAAAGCACACATTCATCTAAACCTGAGAATTAACTAATTTGTAGGTTTCACATTGCTTTTCTGTGTTGCTATTACTCAGGGATTGTGTTGTTTAAGTGTTATTCCTTGCCCTATTAAGTCTTTCCTTGTTGATCTCCAAGCTTTCTTAGGTTGTCCTTCTCCATCCACAATTGCCAATGGAAATCATACTGGTGAGAACATAGCTCGATTTTCTCCTGGAATGCCAGTCATGTACAGCTGTCATCATGGTTACTTTCTGGCTGGAGAGGCATTGCTTGTCTGTACTCATGAGGGTACCTGGAGCCAGCCTGCCCCTTATTGTAAAGGTATTTTGTCTGCTTTGTTTTGTTTCTAGCAAAGTAATTTGTCCCAAACATATATGTTCAGTTAAGCATTTTATCTTAAAATTGTTAGAGATTAATTCTATGATTTAATTGAGTACATTTAATAAATTAATATTAATCTCAGATCTTAAAACGAAAATGGCATAACTATATGACTAATTATTTAGTTAATAAAAATTAATATTTAGAAAAATAATAATTATTTATACACAGAAAGTTGAAGTGATTTTTATAATTTAAGTAACTAAGCAAAGGTTATAATCACACTATTGTTAAAGTTTTTGTAAGAAGGCATTTGACATAAAATCAATAAAAATCACAATTTCCTTTTGATTATATTTCCCTATTTGGTAGTGAGATTATGGTTAAGTTTTTCTATTGATTATTTGGGAATCTCACATCATTCACTCCGATTGCATTCACCTCCCAATCTCCTTATGTCTGCACCTCTCCACTGTGACCACTCCCTCCACAAAGAAAAGAAAAATACAAGTCAGTTTTGTGTTGTTTGTATACTCACTGGAGTACGGCCAAATTCCTAGTGACCAACCCCTCCTAGTGAGGATAACTCTCCACCTGCATCTGCACCAGAAGCCATCAACTGAGGAGAGCAGTGTGTTGTGCAGAGAAGGGAGGGGCCAGTTTTCCAATGCTCACTCTACAGCCTAAGGTGCTGGGACAGCTCTCCTGTACCCGCCACCATTGCACTGGCAGATGAGGGGTGGGGCCAGCTCTCCCACAATACAGACAATTTTTTAATCAATTTTACATATAAAATAATTATCAGCAATGTATATTAAATAGGAATAATAAGTCAGTATATAATATTGCCGAGGATTATACTTTATGCCAGATGCTGTGCATTGCTTCCATTATTATCTCATTTAATGTTCATGAAACCCGTAAGAATGGTACCATTGTTATTCTTGCTTTCTAGATAAGGTTTCAATGTCTCAGAGAGATCTGTGACTTACACAAAGTCATACAACTAGCAGTGAGGATTCAAGCAAAAGATCTTACCAGGCATGTTTCTAATTTTCATATTGTAAAATGATGTAATCATATACAAAATTCATGTTCAAGAACCATGAGATTGGGGGAAAAGATAGCTCAAGGAAAAGATGTGGTTAAGAGTCAAGCTGTTCTTCCACAGGACCCAAGTGCTGTACCTACCACTTACATAGGGTGACTCACAGCCACCTATAACTCCAGATTCAGAGAATCCAATGCAGAAAAAGAGGATTTTCTGGTCTCTAAAGCACCTGCACACATATGCTGTTCTTACACACTCATGCACTCACATGCACACAAAGACACACACACACAGCGAAATCTTTAAAAATGTTATCAAAATTGTCACAAAATCATAATATTCTAAATATGTTTAAGATTTTGTGTTAGGTCACATTCATGAATGTGTCCACCTGTGATTGCAAGTTGAACACTATTGATAGCTCATGTGCTCAAAATATCAAAGAAGAAATGAGAATGTGCATGGATGTATGAAGAATTAGACTAGAAACCAAGAAGGAACAGTGATTTGGAACAATTAATATTCACCCCTTAATATTTTTAAAGACAGTGTTAGAATTATTTAAACACTGTTAACACAGACACATAAACAAAAACCAATGCAGCTTAAGTTGCTAGGTAGTTCTTGAAAAATGCTTAAGGATAGCCACACCAGCTTGCTTCTTAGGTCAGCATAATTGAAAAATCTTTTTCCAACTCTTTACTCTGAGGTAATGTTTGTCTTTGAAGTTGATGTATGTTTCTTGTATGCAGCAGAAAGATGTTTTTATATCCATTCTGTTAGCCTGTGTGTTTATATTGGAAAATTGAGTTCATTGATATTAATAGTAGGCAGAGGCTACTTATTCGTTCCCAGATGCCCAGGCACAAAAAATAATCACACAGAAAATATATTAATTATGATGCTGCTTGGCCTATTAGCTTAGGCTTTTCATTAATTAACTTTTACATCTCAAATTAAACTATTTCTATTATTTTGTGTTTTACCATGAGGCTCGTGGCCTACTGGCAAGGTTTTGGCTGGTGTCTTACATATTTCTCCTTCAGCAGCTACATGACATCTCTCTGTCTCTGCCTTCTTTCTCCCAGTATTCAGTTTAGTTTTCCTGCCTAGCTCTATTTTGCCTGTCATAGGCCCAAGCAGTTTCTTTATTCATTAATCAATAAAAGTAACACATATACAGAAGGACTTTCCACATCAATTAATGACCAGTATTTGCTAGTTCCTGTTATTTGGTGGTGGTGGTGGTGGTGTGTTTCCCTTCTTTGGGTTTTGTTGATGTGGAATTATTTATTGCCTGTGTATTTGTGGGTGTAGCTAACTTCTTTGGGTTGGACTTTTCCTTCTAGTACTTCTGTAGAGCTGGATTTGTGGCTAGATATTGATTAAATTTAACTTTTGTAATGAAGTATCTTGTTTTCTCCGTGGATGGTTTTGAAAGTTTTGTTGGGTTTAGTAGTCTGGGCTAGAATCCGATGTCTCTTAAAGTTTACAGGAACTCTATCCATGTTCTTTTGGCTTTTAGAGTCTCCATTGAGAAGTTGGGCATAATTCTGACAGGTTTGCCTGTATATGTTACTTGACCTTTTTCCTTTACAGCTTTTAATATTCTTTCTTTATTCTGTATGTTTAGTGTTTTGATTATTATATTGTGAAGGGATGTTTTGTCAGGTCCAGTCTATTTGGTGTTATATAAATTTTTTGTACCTCTATAGGTATATCCTTCTTTAGGTTGGGAGATTTTTCTTCTATAATTTTGTTGAATATATTTTCTGGGTCTTTGTTCAGAATTTCTTTTCCTTCTTCTATCCCTATTATTCTTGGGTTTTGTCTTTTCATTGTATCACAGATTTCCTAGAAATTTTATGTTAGGCATTTTTTAGATTTAACATTTTCTTTGACTAATGAACCTATCTCCTCGATCAGATCTTCAATGCCTGAGATTTTCTCATCCATCTCTTGTATTCTCTTGGTGATGCTTTTACATCACTTACTCTTTTCCAGCATTCCCTCAGTTTGTATTTTCTCTATTGCTTCTATTTCCATTTTAAGGTCTTTCACAGTTATATTTGTTTCCATCAATTGTTTGGTTTTTCTTCTCGGTTTTCCTGACATTCTTTTTTTTAATTTTATTTATTTTTCCATTCAAAAATTTCCACTTCCTCTCCTCCTCCCATTTCCCTCCCACTCCCCTACTCATCCTCCTCTCCCCCCCCTCCAATCTTAAGAGAGGGCAGGGTACCCTGCCTTGTGGGAAGTCCAAGGCCCTCCCCTCACCATCCAGGCCTAGGAAGATGTGCATCCAAACAGACTAGGGTCCCAAAAAGCCAGTACATGCAGTAGAAACAAGTCCCAGTGCCATTATCAACGGCTTCTCAGTCAGCCCCATTGTCAGCCACAATCAGAGCGTCCGGTTTGATCACATGCTCATTCAGTCCCAGTCCAGCTGAATTTGGTGAGCTCCCATTAGATCAGGTGCACTATCTGAGTGGGTGGACCAACCCCTCGAGGTCCTGACTTCCTTGCTCATCTTCTCCCTCCTTCTGCTCTTCAACTGGACCTTGGGAGCTCAGTCCATTGCTCTGATGTGAGTCTCTGTCTCTATCTCCATCCATTGCCAGATGAAGTTTCTATGGTAATATTCGAGCTAATCATCAGTGTGACTATAGGACAAGGCCAGTTCAGGCACCCTCTCCTCTGCTTCCCAAGGACCTAGCTAGGGACATCCCCTTCCGTGGACATCTGGTATACCCTCTAGAGCCAAGTCTCTTGCCACCCCAAAAGGGCTCCCTTAATGTAGATATCTTCTTCCCTGCTTCTATATCTGCCCTTCCTCCATTTCAACCCTCCAACTCCCCCAAGCTCTCCCCAATCCTTCCCTTCTCCTTTCTCTCTCCCCCTCTCCCCTTTCCCCCACATCACTCCTACTCCTATGGCTGGCGACCTTGTCTGCTTCCAATTTCCAGGAGGATCTATATATGTTTTTCTTTGGGTTCACCTTATTATTTGGCTTCTCTAGGCTTGTGAACTATAGGCTCAATGTCCTTTCTTTATGGCTAGAGTCCACTAATGAGTGAGTACATACCATATTCATCTTTTTAGATCTGGGTTATCTCACTCAGGATAGCGTTTTCTATTTCCATCCATTTGCATGCAAAATTCAAGATGTCATTGTTTTTTTACCACTGAGTAGTATTCTAATGTGTATATGTTCCACACTTTCTTCATCCATTCTTCCATTGAAGGACATCTAGGTTGTTTCCAGGTTCTGGCTATTACAAATAATGCTGCTATGAACATAGTTGAACAAATGCTTTTGTAGTATGATTGGGCATTTCTTGGGTATATTCCCAAGAGTGGTATTGCTGGATCTTGAGGTAGGTTGATTCCAATTTCCCAAGAAACCGCCACACTGATTTCCTGACATTCTTTAAGAGATGTATTAGTTTCCTCCAAATTTTTGGTTGTCTTTTCATCCAATTCTTTAAGAGACTCTTAGTATTTCTTTAAGAAAACATTAGAATTATTTAAACACTGTTAACATAGACACACAAACAAAAAACAGCATAGCTTAAATTGCTTGGTAGTTGTTGAAAAATGCTTAGCAATAACTGCCCAGAGTATTAGCTTATGCTATCCACTGAAACTTTGCTTACTGACAATGAAGTAAGTTTATTTCATAACCTTTCTAGTAAGTACAGTTTCTACTTTCTTGGTAAAGGATAAATTATGACTGTGTATTAGTAAGTTTTTTTTTTAATTGCAGAGGTAAACTGTAGCTTTCCTGAGGATACAAATGGAATCCAGAAGGGACTCCAGCTTGGGAAAATGTATCGGTATGGAGCTACTGTGACTCTGGAATGTGAAGATGGGTATACCTTGGAGGGAAGTCCTCAGAGCCAGTGCCAGGATGACCACCAGTGGAATCCTCCCCTGGCTATTTGCAAATATCGTAAGTGCAAGTGTCTCACCACTATTTATATGTGGCCTGTGAAGGAGGGGAACGGAGTATCTATCAGTGTAGGAAGCTCACAGGGCTTTGACATAATGAACAGTGATGCGACAACAGATTGACTTAAAGGCAATAGTCAATATAAATAAAAGTATAGATGAGGGTATATCACATCAATACTCTAAAAGGAGCAAAAATGTCAAACTCATAGACTTCTATTTGAAAGAAACTTCTGTGAGACTTCTCTCTTTGCTAATTTTTAAGTGCTTACCAATTTGAGAAGACTTCCAAAAACATGTCTGCTAGCCTGTTATAACAGTTCCTATTTTCATTTGATCTCAAAAATCACTGACTATAAAGTTGACTGTACTGATGAACTCGCACAACTTAATTAATTAAAGCTGATGATATCCATTTAATTTAAACATAATAGAAGAGTAATAATAACTTGTGGAACAAATATCTATATCCTAAGTAGACAAAATGGAATATGAGTATCGACTTCTGGGACATTGCCAGGTGTCATGGTACCTAGATGACATTGACTTGTACTGCTAGACTGATGTTTCATAATTTTTTATTTCTCTTTAGGGTCAACTATGCCTCTTATTTGTGGTGAGTTCTCTTAAATATTTGGAGAAGAGTTTTTATATTTTTTTATAAATATATATAATTAGATGTTCTACATTCTACACATTAATATGTTTAATTTTAATTCATTGGGTCTAATGTTTTTTCATGTTTTAAAGGTATTTTAATATTCTTGATACATTATAAAATGTCCACTTAAGTTAGAGTTGAAAGTGTTTTCACGGTTTTTAAATTGAAAGTCTCTTTTCATTTGCTCTTGATATTTGGTACAATTGAAATAAGTAATCTTATTCTGCTACATCAAAGTATACTTAACAACAAAGGGTCAAATGTTGCTATGCAAAATCATGGGACTCTGGTATCCTATCCTGTGTTCCTAATTACACTCTAAGGACAAGATTGTTTACCAATGAAACTGAAAAAGAATAGAGAAAATATGATGGAAAGTTGACTGGAGTCCTGTGGTCCATGTGCTGCAGACAAAACATCGACTAGATACAACTAGAAAAACTTAAAGCTCAATCATGATTATTCAGTAATTTAGAGTTTATGGTTAAGAAAAATGTACTAAAAAATCACATTAACAACTCTGTACCACTAGGAGTAAACCCTACAATCAGCTCCTAGCAATATGTCATTTTTTTTCTGGCATTAAACATTTATTTTCTCCCTTCAGGTGTTTCTGCAGGCTCAGTAGTTATTATTTTGGTTGGTGTCATCTTCTGTATGATGTTAAGACATAAAGAACGGTAAGTCCAAATGAATGTTTGACCAATAAGTACAACAGCTTTTGCGTTCTTGTCACCAATTTTAAAAACACAACTTATATGAACTGGTGTGTGTGTGTGTGTGTGTGTTTGTGTATGTGTGTGTGTGTGTGTGTGTGTTGTAATGTTTAGACTAGCATGACTTAAGCTTCCCCAGCTCTAAGTTACCTGATACTTGGCAAATCTTTCTCTGAGTATCTTTCCTGATACTAGCGTGCACAAAACTTACATACACGAAACATACCCAGGTAAATACCTGATGTACATGCTTTATAAAAAATATCCTTTACATATACCAATTTTCTGTAGTTTCCACAAGATTCAAGGGTCAGAGGGCTTTTATGTCATATCTGTATCTAAACCTATGCCATCTTTACTGTCACATATACTATTTCCAGTCATACCCAATTATATGGATGTTCTCCAAGTCTGTAGTGAAAAGCCAAGGCTCTAGTCCATTAGCAAACACTTCATTTTTACCTAGAACATATTCCTCTCTTTGTTTTTACCTCTGGTTTTTTTTAACAATTCAAATAAAACTATTAGACATTAATCACTGCTTTGTGTCCTCACCAAATATAATTAACTATGGTAACATCATGGTACTTCTTGAGTTGCAAGTTTGTCCTCTTTTACCAGACTATGACCTCCTTAATGTCAAAGTCTATGTCCTGGTAGTATAACATGGTGCTAATATAAGGAGACAATCAATAGTTACTATACTACAAATGAACAGACATGATCATTTCTTTTCATATGCCTCTTATTTCTCTAGCATCACTCTCAAACTTTTTATGAAAATCATGTATATGAATGCTAGACATAGCAACACATGATACACTCTCAGAAAAATCACTGGCATTCTTTAATAATTGGGCTTTAAAGACATCAATGGTAGCATAGAAGAATAAATGCTGTATTTCCTACATAAATCATTTAATTTTAGAACCAATATACTTACTTTTATATTTTATAAATACAATAATTATTAAAAAGCTTTATATAAACTAAAGGAAGTTAGACAAAAGGTTATATGAAAGTTTATAAAACAAAGGAAAGAATACAAGAAAACCATTAAACAGGATATTTCAAAATATCTTCAAGTGTTATCACTGGATGTTTGTTTATTTAACTTTTATGTGTTATTTTATAGACTTTTTAATTTGATTTTTACAAATTAAGATGTGTACTGGGTATCTTTTAAGTTCCTATAAAGAAGTCTACCCTCCATACCACAAATCATTTCACTCTAGTGATAACATTGTAGATTCTAACTTGGACAATTACCAAACTAGTAAATTATTTATTTTTATGTACCCTTAAAATTGGGGCCTATGGTTTTTAATATTTAAGAAAATGAGATGAAATCATACATGAAAATACAATTTTCTGGACAATAGAAAGCAGACAGGTAATGAACCCTCACCATAATCACAGTTAATTAGTAGATTTGACAGCTTTTTCTTATGTTTCTCTTTTAGCAATTATTCTACAAAGACAAGGCCTAAAGAAGGAACTTTTCATTTAGAAACACGAGAAGTATATTCTGTTGATCCATACAACCCAGCAAGTTGATAACATGACAAGTTGGTATATAATGAAACTGAAATATATTACTAATATATATATGTATATACATATATACATATATATCAAGATTTGCTTTAATATTTTCTCAAGTCTTTCTTAAACATGGTCTTAAGTAACTATTGTTTGTATCAGTCTTTAATAGCTATGTACAATATTATTTACTTACCTACTTCATATTGCTAACTGAAGGTCTTAGTTTAAAAACTGTCTATTTAGTAAATATGTAACAAATGTGATTAATAAAATTATTAAGAATATTTTAAAATGCTTAAAAATTAAATAAAGTCAGATATGGTAGTGCATGCTTATGGTTCTACCACTTGGAAAATAGAAGAAAGATCAGGAAATTTAAGCCTGGTCTCAGTCACATTGTGAATTTGAGGGTAGGCTTGGCTGGATGAGGCCCTGTCTCAAAAGGGGGGATAAAAATAAAGTAAGTATCATTAAAGAGAATTAAACAGGGAAAGAAGACAGATAAACAAAAGTGATTACATAGAAAGTATTCACTAAGAAAATGGCATTTGTTCAAAGACTGGAGAACGTAGTGAGTCGGCCAAGTAAGCACATAGAAGAAGAGGATGAAAGAATTTATACAAACAGGAGCAAGTTCAAAGACAAAGAGGTCTTGCTGTGTTTGCATAACAAGGTGGTTTGTGTGGCCTAAAGTGAATTAATCAGGTAGGAAATACATACTCAGAGAGGTACTGTTGAAGGAGCTGGATGATTAGATAGGCTAGGTCATTGTAATAAGTTTTTAATTTGAGATGGGAAGCACACCCGAGTTTTAAGCAGAATAACTACATAATCGCCTTAATTACTGGGTTAAGAAGACGTTATAGAAAGTTAAGGGTAGAAGAAGGAGATCAACAAAAAGGCAAGGAACAACAATCTGGCAAGAAGAGGTTATATACTGCACGCATTTTTAAGATAATAGGAAGGGAACTTAAACAATGTTTTGTGTCTGGATTTAAAGGATGAAGAAAGGTATAGATCATGATGCCAGGATTTTGGGGCCTAAGCCACTGGAGTGATAAAGTTGCTATTAAGATGACTCAGAATGTGATGAGCAGACTGAGGAGAAACAGTTCTGCTTTGGGGGCGTTAAATGTGAGATATCTCATAAATAATCAAATAAAAGTATCAAGAAGGCAGTTGAAAAATTCACATCTCAAGCATCACAGGTAATACTGAACATACAAATGCACACATAAATAAAAAGACTGAGTCAGATCATCATGGAGTTTAAAGAGACCACAGAAGAGAAAAAGTCCAAGAACCGAACCTTATGGTTTCTAATGTGAGGAGCTGTAAAATAAGGAAGAGAGGCTGCAAAAGAGAGACCCACCCCCACGTGTGGTGTACAGAGGTACAGGGAGCTTAGGGAAGAGGAAAGTTGCTGTTGACAGCTTAAAAATTACAAGCAATGAAAATTGACCATTGGATTTAACAGCACAAAATTTGTTGGTGAACCTGCCAAAAATAGTTTTAGTAGATATAAAGGAGAAAGAAGTTGGATTAATCTTAAGAGAAAACAAAAGAACAGAAATTGAAGTATAAACTATAGGTAGATTGCTATATTTAGGAGTGCTTCTGTAATGGATCAGATAATCATAGAAAAATAGCTATATAAGAAAGACTTTTGAGTAATTAATATATGTATCTATCCCACAGTTCCTATAAGATGATCAAGGTGACCTAATAGAAAAAGAAATGAAAGCAAGGCAGAAAAAAAGGGTTTCTGAGCCAGAATTTCAGTGAATTTCTCAGAAATAAAGACTTACTAATAAAATAAAACAGAAACTATAGCAACAGAAACAAAGAAGATGCCCCCATACAATATGATGGCAAATGCACATCCACTCTCCTTTAATGTGATAGTTTGCAGTGACTAGGAAGCGAACTGGTTCGAAGAGAATAAGACTGAAGGAGATGTTAGAAATTAAGAGAAAGGGTAAAATATTGAAGTGAGCTGGAAGTAGAAAACTGAATGATGAAAATTTCAGAAAGGTGAACAAGCACTATTTATAATCTACCAAAGGTCACAGAAAAAAACTGGTGACATTAGAAGGTATGTTTTGCTGAGTATTTGATACCATATCTCACTCAGATCTCACAATCATTTTGAAAGATTAATAGCTCAAAAATGACAAGAAATGAAAACAAACCATTGGATTAGCAGCACAAAATTTGTTAATGTAATTGATAAGACTTTTGTATAAATAAAGAAGAAAGATGATACCAAGCTGAAGTAATAGTCCCCATGAAAAAACTAAAGCTAAAATATTCTCTTGGCCAAAGAATTTAGAATCAGGGTCTGGAAAAATGAATTATTCAGAGGTTAAAAGCACTTATTGCTCTTGCAGAGGGCCCAATTTTAATACCCAGAATTTACATGGTAGCTCAGAACCATCTGCAAGTCCAGTTTCAGAAGATCTGATGCTTCTCTTAGCTTTTGCACATATGTGGTACACATATATACACTCAGGCACACACATATGCACAAATTCTTTAGGGCCAGTTGTGACTTTAAACTGATTCCTATATATTTGACAGACAACTTACCATCTGTCCTCTTGGACTTATGTTATTAGGACAAAAGACATATATATCATAGAATAAGAATAAATGTCATAGGCAAAGTACAGAGAAGTTATTATAGTATTTGAAGATGAAAATGTTACTTGCTCCTGGTGAGTCTTAGCAAAGGCAAGTAGGAGAAAGGGAACATTGTATTGGAGAGATCCCAAACTCAAAACAAGGTACCCAAACAAAAGCTTTTATATATTTGTTGTATACACATTGATTTTTATTTTATTTGTATTTATCAGCATAAAATATGGTTGTGTTCCAGTTTATATTACTTAAAGTGCTTCCTAATATAATAATTCATTAATGGTTTTAGTTGTCAAATAGAGAGAATGTTGATGCTCTAGTCATGTTATTTAAACTTGAGTTATATTATTCACATTGTTACCTACATAGAAATTATGCTTCTGTGTCTTGTGGCTTGCAATTGCATTAAACATTGATAAGAAAGAAAGCATTTGAGTATCAGTAAATCTCTGAGTGGTTGTAGCATCAGTGAACTAATACAATAAATTGTAACTTTTTGTTTATGCAATTTATTCTTAAGCAAAACAGAGAATGCTTGTTTGATGTTAAAGATGGTTCACAAACATCCTGCAGTGAGGCCTACTCTATGGAATTTTATTAGTGATTGGACTAAAGCCAGGCTGTGGATATGGAAATGGAAACGACACTGCAATAATAAGCTTATTTAAGAAAACTACTCTGTGAGTTCGAGGCCAGCTTAGTCTACAAGAGCTATTACCAGGACAGGTTCCAAAGGTACAGAGAAACCCTATCTTGGAAAAAAGAAAAGAAAGAAAACTAATTCCTACAGGCGGTGGTGGCACATGCCTTTAATCCCAGCATTAAGGAGGCAGAGGCAGGCAGATCTCTGTGAGTTGGAGACCAGTCTGTTCTACAAGAGCTAGATCCAGGACAGCTAGAACTGTTACAAAGAGAACCCCTGTCTTGGAAAAAAAAACTAATTTGTATATGTAGCCCCATCATTTTTTAAAACATTTATTTATTTATTATGTATACAGTATTCTGTCTGTGTGTATGTATGCAGGCCAGAAGAGGGCACCAGATCTCATTATAGATGGTTGTGAGCCACCATGTGGTTGCTGGGAGTTGAACTCAGGACCTTTGGAAGGGCAGCCAATGCTCTTAACCACTGAGCCATCTCTCCAGCCCTAGCCCCATCATTTTTAAAGCAGCCTTCACACTGTTACCATATGCTTTGGACTACAATGGAGCATTCAACATCTACCAGGGATGCCCAAGCTGTGGACTGTGGGCCAAAAGAAGCCCAGAATGCCTATGAATATAGTCCAAAACAAAAACAAAAACTTACTTAAAATATTATGAAATTTCCTTTTGTAACATTTATTCTGTAATTTGGTTGTATAGTTCTCAAGTAGGAACTTTTTAGATGACAATGCATGTTGGAAAAACCAAAAGGTTGGACATTCTTGTATCTGAAGTATTTCCTGCAGTTGTGATGAGCACACCTAACTGGAAATGCTGACTTTAATAGAAACTTCCTTCTCTGATTTGGCTAAGCATACTTACTTAGGTTAATGTTTTTCTCACAATATTGTATATTTGTTGTCTATTCACAATCATTCTGTAATTCCAATTTTCACAAAATTTTGGGAACTATCTGAGTTTTTATTCAAAATTTGGTTATTTTTTTAGCAGTTTTCTCATAAGCTTCAGCTTTTTATGAAAGGCAATTTAGTAGTAATATATTCACTATTCAAATAAACTATATTTTTAAAAATCTTAAATGATTTGTCTTTCTGAAGTTAGTGATTTTCTAAATAATATGCACAATTCTAGGGTCCTAGAGTTTATAATTTAATAGTAATTCATTCTGGAACACACCATTTGGATATTTTAGCCAATGCCTCAATCTATAAATTTAGCTCCCTCATACATAATATCCATGGAACAAGTTTCCTCCACCCACTGTATTTCTCCACTATACCTTAGATCTAACCTTTAGACTATTGAGAAAAACAACAGCAACAACTAAAACCTTCCCATCAGTAACCAGTTTTCTACCTCATCTTCTCCTAAAGGAGGTGTGCTATTTAGTGTGTGTGTGTGTGTGTGTGTGTGTGTGTGTGTGTGTGTGTGTGTAACTCTAGCTATAAAAATCACACGGAGGGGGTAACCTAGGCCAAAGTAGGCCCAAGGCAACAAACTGCACCTTGGGCTGGAGCTGGCCTGAGACAGCAAATTCCACAGGAGTAAGCCTGAGGAAGCAAGCTCAATGAGAGCAGGAGCAATCAACTTCAGGGACATTGGAGGATCAATATTGAGCCAGCAACCTGGGCCAGAGCAGATCTGAGAGAGGAAACTCCACAGGGAACAGATATAGGGAAGCAACCGCTGAGTGATTAAGCCAGAAACAGAGACCTCTGAGGGTCCAGACGTGAATCTGAGACCTTCAAGGGAGTAGACCTAAGCCAGGACCCCTGTGGGTCTGGGCATGAGTCTTGGAATTCTGAGGACCTAGGTCT